ACATAGGCGTTTAACATGGGAAATTACTTTTTCTTTGCGCAAACGTTTCCTAATTATTTTACGCAAAAATACTTCAAATAAAAGTTATAGAGATATAAATTCTGCATCTAAATCATGAAACGATTATTCTACGTCTTCTTGTACGCGAAAAAATTAATTATAAAGGTTCTGCTTTCACGAGTTTTTAGTCTAAGTAGCCATGGACTATGATAAAAGAAAAACTTTAGTCCATGGCTGCTTAGACTAAAAACTCGTGAAAACAGAATCTTTATAATTAATTTTTTCGCGTACAAGAAGAGGTAAAATAATCGTTTCACATGATTTAGATGCAGAATATCAAACAAATAGTACCACCACATTCCGTAAGATCTTCCCAAAAACGTGTATTATCAATTCTGCCCAGATTCCTAAATGTTTTAGTTATAGGGGAGGACTATTCAAGAGATATTTCCTATAAAGAGGAAGTGTAAATTAAAATCCTATATGCCTTGAAATATATTTCTTATCTAACCAGTCTATGGGAATTTTCTGAAAACCTCTTTTATTTCCTTAAAAGATAAGGAAGCAGTACCTATTTAGCTGTGGTCATACATTTCCGTGTTTATCTTTCCTTGAATTATCACTCTGTTTTAAAAAATATAAGGATTAACCTTGTTTTGTGAACTAAAATCGAATGCGCTTATTGGAATAGGGTTGGATCATTTTATGTACAAGAGGTTAAAGGAACCAAATTCTCAGTCTAATTTACTCCGAATGTTAAATTTAAATTAATTCTAAAAAATCAGATAGCACTATTTCAAATAAATAAATAAATAATTAATAATGATAGACATTGTTGTAAGCTTTCCTCAACTTGTTACGCTAAAAATAACATAAAAGAGGAGTTTCACTTCTTTCGAAAAAATTTCATGAAATACAATTTTTCTACTCCAAAACTACAAAAAGTAGCGTTGACGTTTATTAATCTGAGAAAACAAGTTGCAATGCTATCTGAATGAGTGATAAAAAATTACTAAATAGATTGTACACTGTAAGTATATGTATAGAAAGTTTTTGAAAGAAGGGGAGGTTTTCCAGGTATAATACCTGTCGGCTGTCGCATGAAATATGAAAAGATTGAAGTGCGTAAATATGATTTTAGAAATTTCATTATTAGGTTTTTCGTCTCGCTGTGCGTTCTGGACAAAGTTGTAGTTGAAAATAGACCTATTTAGTCTGCCCAACTTCAAAACTAGGAGTATAAATGATTAATGAGTTCTTTATTTCTGAAGGCAACGGTTATTCTACACCTATATTAAAGAAAAACATTTTCGCAATCATATTATAACGGGCAATCAAAAATGAGTTGCTGTCGAGTCGCCTTTGGAAGTGCAAGTTAAATACAATTTCACACGTAAACCAAAATTCCAAAGGTGACTCGACAGCAACTCATTTTTGATCGCATAGTAGTACCAAAGAGTATGGGTACTCTTTGGTAGTACATTATTACAAAGGACATATCACTATATCATTTTTTCGATTAGACGAACATTGGAAACTGGCCGCTGCGCTGTAGGCTTCCAAAGTCTATAGTTAACAAGAAAATGAGGTTGTAAGGATGACAGAATGAGAAGGTTCGAGTTGAGACAAAATATTTCTCTTAGTGCTAGCTTCTCCATTTTTGCAATGTTGCTAATGTAATCTCACTGGATAATTAAGCCATAGTCTTAAATTTTTATTGTTAAAATGTATGATAATTTCAGTGCGACTATGTATATAAATAAAATGAATGTTTGTATGTTTGTATGTCTCTTATGCCTGCCTAAACCGTTCATCCGATTGCGATTAAACTTTGGGGAATAGTTGGAGGTATGTCCGGGAAGGTTTCTATATAATAAAAGAAATTCCGTCTGTCTGTACGTACGAATGTTCCTTATGCTTGCCTAAACCGTTCATCCGATTGATACGAAACTTTGGGTAATGATTGGTCATATTTCAAGGTTTTTATGTAGGTAAGTAAATAAAATTGTATTCGTCCTGTCTCTTATGATGCCACTGCCAGCTTCCTAAACCGTTTATCCGATTGCGACTAAACTTTGGGGGTTAGCGTTAGACGTACAGTCTCTTGTAAAAGTAATGTCCCTCGGATACCTACCACTGTAGCATAGGCAACCAACATCCCAGCCGCCTAGTCCAAGTTGGATTTGCGGGTGTGCGAGGTAGCTATCTAATGCGGTTCATTTTCAGCAGATATTCCCATTTAGCCAAACTAAATACTAGTTAGTAGAATAAAAGTGAATGCCATTGATTTATTAGCTCAAAGGATCTGCGCTGCATATCCTTGGCTTGGTGCAGTAAACATTTTTACATTTCTTACAATTGGTTTGGTGCGTTTTAAATTTGCAAATAGTTTAGCTAGAGACTATTAAGACAAAATAATGGCCTTTCACTTTTTAATTTTTTGAGTAGGTTCTCTTCTAACGAAATAAAGGTGATATTCTTGTCCTTTAATGACATTGAAATTCCAGTGTCATTAATAATTACTTGCGAGTAGGTCTCCTCATGGAATGCGATTAATTGCCCTACAAGTGCACTGTGGAACAATACCTTTTGTAACTAGCATCAGAAATTAAATGATATGCATTTGTGATACTTGGTCGTGGTTGATTTAATATCGAATTTAGTTTAGGAGAGCTTTTACGTTGCATATTTTTGAGTAGGTAGGCATATTATAAGGATATTTAGTCCAGGTTATAGGTATAATATTTTTTGATAAAAAAATTAGTTACCAGTTAAACCGGCTTTTTCATGCAGGTGAAATGATTAGAAATTAGGGAAAAATAATTAAAACAGCTGAATTTTTCCGCGGGTGCCATCCCGGAGTTTGAAAGGAGTGGGAGGTGGTAGTTACAAAAGGAACGGCATTGTTGCGCTTCCAGTGCAGATAATCGCATTCCATTAGGAGGCCCGAGTAATTAATAATGAGACTTCAATTTCAATGTCAGTATAAAACGACAAAATCATCACATTTATTTTGTTAGAAGAAAATCTACTCGAAAAAATTAAAAGTAAAAGGTCATTATTTTAGCTAAACTATTTCCAAATTTAAAACGCACCAAACCAATTGAAAGAAATGTAAAAATTTCTATTGTATTAAACCAAGGATAGATTAAAGCAGCGCGGATCTTTTGAGCTAATAAATCGATGCCATTCATTTTCATTCTACTAACTTATTTTTAGTTTGGCAAAGTGGGAATACCTGCTGAAAACGAACCGCATTAGATACCTACCTACCTCCCACACCCGCAAATCCAACTTGGACTAGTCGGCTGGGATGTTGGTTGCCTATGCTACAGTGGTAGGTATCCGAGGGACATTACTTTTACAAGAGACTACGTCCCTAAACTGTTCATCCGATTGCAGGACGAATGACTGCGAAAGTATATAAAAATGAATCGCCGAACATAATTTACGCGATCAAATTAGATGGTTCTTTTTTTGTTGTGCTTGCGTTATCGAAACATGTGACGCGTTAAGCTAAGGGAAGAAAATAGGACACTCTTTTCTTAAAAATGAAACCAAAGAATAGCCTAATTAATTTACGAAAATAATCGTCAAAATATAAAATATAAATTCGTGCCTACCTACCCTACATCTGCAGCTAATTTAAAAATATGTCGGCAAATTCTAGTTATAAAAAGGGCAAGGTTTGCCGTGACTACAAAATTCATTCCAACCTGTGCCTTTGAGGACGACCCAACATACAATTAAGCCATAAAGGGATTACATTTACCAAAGGAAAGAGTGTCCAAGATAAGGTTGTCTATCATGGAGATCGAAACCATAGAAGATACGATGATGGTCAAATTAGAGAAAAGATGTGCAATTAAACCATTATTATCGTGCTTTAGAGAACAAACAAATTCCGATTACTTCCGAAGATATGACAGAAAACCTGAAACTTGCCGATCTTATGTTTATTTTTTGCTGGTGTTATTTGAACAGATACAACAAGAAAGACAAAAGATACTTTCTCATTGCCAATTTTTGAACTCTACCCGCGCACACCTTGCGAGCATACCTATCAGATCAATTCCTGGAAAATAGATTAAATATGTTAGATACGTATACTTGCACGATTAAGATGTTGTGCGTAGATGCACCATCCTGTTGAAACCAACAATATCCAACTTTTGTTTTTGTTTGTGTGACGTATATAGTTGTATTCGTAATCAAAAGTGCTACTAAATACAGCGTGTACTTTCCACGGGCCATATAAAAAAGTATAGTGTGTGATAATTTCTCCGAAACAAAACGTTGTATTAAAAATCTTCCAACGGTGCTCAAAAAGGGGCAAGTATCTTTTGGGAACAAGAAAACGCCAGTTCTAGGTTCTAATGTAAACTAATGTATCTTCAAAAAGTTGATGATCGAGTCCAATACTCCACAGAATTCCTTCCGATTTTGAGGTTTCGACTAGAACCAGCAGGATTATATTGTGCCAGTAGAAAGGTCAAATTATCGCAACTTACAACGCCACCTGACCACTGAATTCATTACTTCTTTCAGGGCAAAACCCTCTATCGAAGCATTTCTTGCAGAATATTCAACATTATAACTGATATGTATTCCAAATGACATCATTTTTTGGTGCAAATATAATTCGGGAAAGGGGTTTCAATGCAAATTTTAAGGTATTATTTTTTCTGCAACCAACATCATACACATCCATCCCAACATGTAACTACGAATACGAAAATTATAAACACCCGTGCGAAGCCAGGTCGAGCAGCTAGTTATAAATAAATTATAGCTACACAAATTAGGGACCTTAAAAACTTGTAGGGCGGACAGTGGATGATAGTGAAATGTAATTAGATACTAATTTATTTAGGCTGTGTACTTACTTTGTTTTTATGAGGCTTAGAACGAACTTACGGATGATACATAATATTTTTTTATCTTTTATGCGGTTACCCATAAAAAAAGGATGAGGTGTAACAGTTTATGCTATATCTTGTCATAGCACAGTTAGATATTGTTAAGTGAAACGTCAGCTACGTACTGTACTTAATACGTGATCAAAATGGTGGCGTTTTTGTACTTTTTCGTAATTATTCTATGTTTTACTATTCATGGTGCCGAACACAAGCCTGTGGATACAAATATAAGAAGCGATGTTGTCGTTACATCGGGTTTTAATATAAAAAACCCCTATTACACAAATGGAGCTACGGACCAGACAATGCCAACCGAGACAGATTCATCCAATGAACCAGGATGGATGGTAGGTACTTTACAACCTTAATCCACACATTATATCTCCAAATTTTAGAGGCGCCAGCTCAAAAAATTGGGAAACATGTTTGGATCTATTGGTAATGGGCTTGGTGGATTTACAAAACGGATCACAGGGACACTCGACAAGTTTTGTGAGCTAGTTAAGACAATTATACCAGTAGTCGCAGCTGTTTGCCATGTAGGTCAGTTTCAATTCTGTGGCTCCGTCGCTGATGCGCCAAAGGAACTAGCTGAAGCTCTTTCTCCAATAAACATAGATTTAAGTATTCCAGATTAGTATTCTTTTTATGTGTTTAAGAATAAGGTGGATTCAGAGCATACATTTACCAAATACCAAAACTATTCATAAGTATGCCCACCTTATGCTTAGTTTATTTGATGAGAAGGTCATAATATTTTGCAAAAAAAAGGTATTCCAAGTGTCGGCAATGAACAGGTTTGCACTGTTTTATTCTTATTTGTGCACTTTTTGTATGTGGAATTAATAAACTATAACCATATAGTATAATATTATGCTATACGTCTTTCGCTATAAAAACCGATGCACGTCATTGATTTATGAATCAATTTCAGACAAGTTTTCTATAGATTTCGCACACTTGTTTTTTTTTGTACATGTTGCAGTGTTGCAGCATATGTCTGAAATTGATACACAAATCAATGACGTGCAACGGTTTCTATAGCGAAAGACGTATATAACTCACATCCCAAATTACAGGAGTTGCTAAATAAACAGAATAGACAGGGGTAGGCTCTAGTTTCAAAAGGCCCTTGCTTATCTTTGGCTGATATGGCCACTATGGTCTACAAATATGATAAAGAATCCGTCTGAAAAAGTTCATCGTAATTGGTTCAGCCTTTCCCTTTTAACATTCATTCACATTAACATTCGGCATTTCTCATTTGTTTGTTGCAGTGCTGGAGAATTACCTACGGACCCTACTCACTCGGACCCTAACCTCACAGGTGGTGAGTTCAAATGTTTATACCGCTTTCCAGTGCATTTGAATTACATATGGCCTCGTTTTGTCCATTTGTCTCAATCACGTCCTTTAAGTACTAGATACATACCTACCCTACTTTATACATACAGTGAATTTTTTTTAAATGCGAACATAGGAGTTTGCATGCAATGTAATTTCCCTATGTTCGATTTTTAAAAAAACACATCAATCTATTGAGTAGTTCAAATGAGTAGTACCTAGATAAAATTGTCACATTTAAAAAAAAACCGCCGTCCAATTTAATTATTAAGAGTAGGTAGGTAGGTACCATGAAGCATGAAGGATAAAACTAGTCCCCCCCCCAGGCCCCTCCGCTTACTGATCTCGACAAAGAGTCGCACGGGAAAGTTATAGTTTGTACACACCAATTTATTTCGATGAGACCTTTCATTAGAATACCATGAAGGGTAGAACATGTGCCCCTCCCCCTCCTTTCTAAAGTTTAACTTGGCGCCACTAAAGGCATGCGTATGCAAAATCTGAGATCAATTGGTTGTCGTATGTAAAAGTTATGCACGTTTTACTTTCAAAAACTAAACAGCATCTCAGGAAATAATTCGTGGGGGGCCCCCTTTTAGACAGCGAAATTTGATGGCCATCTGGCACACCTTCAAGGTATAGGCTACCTACTGCAAACAATTCCAGGACTCTAGGACCATTCCCCTAGAAGTAGTTCGAAACGGCAGAAGTGGGTCCGGACGGACGGGCTGATGGATGGACGGACAAAACGCAAACAATAGCGTATTTTTAAGAATTAAAGTGAAATTGAAAGTGTGCCAGACGGCCATCAAATTTCGCTGTCTAAAAGGGGGCCCCCCACGAATTATTTCTTGAGAAGCTGTTTTTGAAAGTAAAACGTGCATAACTTTTACATACGACAACCAGTTGGTCTCAGATTTTGCATACGCATGCCTTTAGTGGCGTCAAGTTAAACTTTAGAAAAGGGGGAGGCACATGTTCTACCCTTCATGGTATTCTAATGAAAGGTCTCATCGACGGGGCCTGGGGGGGGGGGGTTATAAATTAATTTTATCTCTCATTGTATTCTAATTAAAGGTATCAACGAAAGGAACCGTTTTCTACCAATTACTGCTCTTCTTTCTGTCCTCTTATCAAAGTACGGGGAAGAGGGAAGGGGGGGAGTGGATCTCGTTTTATCCTTCATGGTACTCTAATGATATGAAAGGTCTCAACGAAAGGAATTAATTTCTGCCAACCATGTCCATAGCCCTCCTCCTCGACCTCTTATCGTGATGGGGTATATTCCCTTATACGGATTATCGGAAGAGGGTACTCACAAAGGGCGAAAGAAATAAAAGAAATATATCTATTGGTGATGCCAAAACAAAAGCTATTTCAGTTAAAAAAATGCGCTTTATCTGCACAAGAGTTGTGCACAATTTATACTTGTTTACAATAGGTAGCTTATAGGTACCTTGAAGGTGTGCCAAAGGGTCATCAAATTTCACTGTCTTAAAGGGGGCCCTCTCCCATGATTTATTTCCTTAGATAAAACATGCGTAACTTTTACATACGATAACCAATTGGTCTCAAATTTTGCATACGAATGTATTTAGTGGTGTCAAGTAAAACTTTTGAAATTTGGGAGGGGGGGGATACACACACGCTCACAGTATTGCAATGAAAGGTCTCATCGAAATAAATTGGTTTATTCAAACTATAACTTTTCCGCGCGACTTTTTTTCGGAATGAGTGGTTGACGGGAGGGGGGGGGGGGGGGGGGGTTAGAAATTAAATTCTATGTTTCATGGTATTCTAATTAAAGGTCTCAACGAAAGCAATCGTTTTCTTCCAACTACCGCGCTTCTTTCTAACTCTTCCTCAAAAGAGTGGTTTGGGGGGAGGGGAGTGGAACAGTTCATGGAACTGTAATGAAAGGTCTCAATGAAAGGAATTAATTTTTACCAACCATAGTCCTCCTCCTCGATTATTTATCGTAATCGAATATATTCCCTTATATCTCCAGAACGGATTGCCGGGAGAGGGTTCTCACAAAGGGCGATTGAAAGAAATATATCCATTGGTGATGTCAAAACGAGTGCCAAACTTTAAGAGCGAAAATAACACCACTGTATACCACACCGTTTCTATAGAGCCACTGTATGTTTCCGTCTTCAGTAAAGTAAAAGTAAAATTTGTATGGAAAAACGAATTCAGATTAGGGGTTTTTATGTTGTAAAACAGCGAAATACCAAACAAATTTTAATTTTTGATGAGCCTATAGGTCTAGAGAAAAAAATAAAACAAAAAATGATGATGCACGAGGTCTAATATAAAAATTTCAATCTTGTCTTAGTTCACCAACCGCTTCAGATCACGCAAAGGCCATGTTCATTAAGCTGATTGGGCTATTGAAAGAATACTCTACGAGGAACGCATTTCGCTATTGAGAACGTTAATGTCGAACGCGATAGCTGATGCCATCACGGACTGTTCAAAAGCTTATAGGGCAAATGTCTCGTACATCTCTGCATGTGAGTTACAGAGACTCTGGTGAGTTAATGCCAACTTAGTGGATCACTTGCGTGTTGGTATCACTGTAAATGTTTTTTTTTTGCACACCATAACATACGAGTATATATTTGAATAATTGTGCGCGTTCAGCCGGGTCACTGCTGTCGTGGCGCCAACGTAGCGGTACTATTGATTATGGAATGGAACGCGCAACTGTCGTTTGGCGTCCGTCAATTTTTCTCAGCGAAAATATTTTCCGCTTTGGCGCTGGAAGCAGCTGTGTAAACGCTGAATACGGCTGAACGCGCCCATTGATTCCTGTTACATAAGTATTTTGATACTGGCGAAGGTGAGTTATCCTCGACAGCGTAAGATTGTTGATTTTATATCTATCTAACCTAAAGGCAATCGGCTTCAAACTCAATTTCGTACCCCCGTTTATAATGTTTGATTGTTTAGCAATCGATGTCTAACCAGTGGGTGTGACGGATCATTGAAAATGTTGAGAATGCGATATTTTGTGTGAAGTATATCTCTGTGGACCAGTCACCTGTAGTTTACCTATTTTGGAATGAAGTGTTGTACCTTTTAATAAGAATATTTATCTTGAAAGATACTTCGGCTGTTTTATGGACAGGAAATATTCCCTTGGTTTGTTATAAAGAGAGATTCTTTTAACATAATGCATACGTACAATACCCATGAGCATCCTTTAAGGACAATATCAAAATATTAGAGAATTTGGCCAACTCAAATAGCAAGTGGCAAATGTTTTCAGCAGTTGGAGTTTGACACTTATTTCCTTTTGCTCTGAATCAGTTACGAAAATTTGAGATCTCCAAACAAGGTTTGCGAATGGTGCAAGGTGCTGATTTCGGTTTATGCAAAAATTTAGCCCAAAAAAATTTGCACTTACTTTTTTTTAAGTTTTAACTAAGTATTACCTAATTTGTTGTACCAATTCACCATGTGATTCTCCATTAATATCGTTCCTTCCTTTTTGAACATTTGTTAATACCTACCTACATACGATCGATATTGCACTACAAACGTCAATCTCTAGTAAAAGTCTAAATAATGTTGGAATGGAATGTCTTTTCTTGATAGGTGTTATTTAAGTTAGTTATGATTATTGCGGTTGTGCATCACAACACAGCAGTTAGGTACAGAAAGGTAGGCTTGAATAGGTTCGAACAGAAGTACATATAGATAGTTATAATTCTACGATTTATTATACCCCTTTTAACTAATTACTAGCAGAAGTGAAAACTTAAAAGACTAAGGATGTACTGTCATATAAAACATAACGTATATATTGGTGTGCGTACTTCATTCCGAGTCTGCATAACATGACGAAGACGGCCTAGCCCCTAAACAATCCGGCATATCCCTGTGCAACGGGTAAAACCCTTTCGGCAACGTGGAAAAGTCGGCGGCCTGCGCTCTCCTGAAGTAAAAAATACAATCACACACTTACAACACACGTAAAATAAGGGTCGGTTTAAATTGACAAATGGATTTAGCATTACTGGATACATGGCAATACAGTACTAGCAGAGTTTTACTTACAAGCTTCTTCAGCGGCTTCCATCTTGGGGCAGCATCGGCTCGTTCGGAGAAGGATGCCAACATAATGAGGGCGACGAAGAACAATACTTGGAATTTCATTTTGAAATGAACGTAAGTTGTAAGTAACGGTACGAAGTTGAGTTGACAACTGACCACCTTTAGAATTTCGGGTCCTACTTATACGTTTTATGTCATGTATCTAATCAAAAAGGGGAACTCTTACTGACAGTGGTTTTCCTGGTTGTGATACTGCTATTTCTGTACCTAAAGCTTCTAAGCAAAGAGCACGATTTGAAAAAGTAAATGAAAAACGTAGAACGCTTTTAAGTAGGTACCTACTTCGTACTCTGAACTGAAACATTAACATTTCTTACTCTTCAAAGACAAAAACGTACATAAAAGCCACTGGAGTTTATTTTGTACTTAATAATTCTGGTCTCTCTGTTAAAGAAGCTTTTTGTAGAAAAGCTCTTAATTTTAATCTTAGGCGTAAGTAAACAAACGACATGATTTTGATGCATCATTTATTACTCCTAATGGAACTAAGCCGAACTAACAAAAAATGCATGTTATTGATATACGAGGTTTACTTTTACTTTACGTATTTAACTGGAGAAAGCATTAAAGTAGAAGCGAACGTGTGGAAAAAATTATATTCGCCAAATTAAAGTCAAAGTGTAAGAGGATTATTTGATTTGTGGAAGTAAAAGAAAATAATCAAAGACGGCTTTTCGAAGAGGTCGATCGTTAATTAAACCTCAGATAAAAGTTGGATATATTTACACGTTTTCCAGTTTAATTGAATGCTGTGCACCGAATTCCTAAAAATTTCATATTGTTACGGACGGTGAGCGAGTAATAAATATGACACTTCATTTGTTGACAAATCGCTATGGAGGAGAAATTCGACAGAGCAGAACCAACTACTCAGTCCTATAATTTCTTACTAGGCGCTCTCCCTTATAATTGGCTAATTAATTTTCCTAAATGAACCGTTGTGACCGCTAGGAGTTTGAGGTTAGACAAAGAACTCAGTGGTAGTCTATCGTTTTTTGCACCGATCATAAATTGCATTTTATAACAGAAGATAGAGATCCAAACTATGCACATCACCGATAGAAAACTCGAAAGAAAACACTAAGCTATTAATCAGAAACTAAATTTGGTGTCTACAGAAAAACAGCACTATGCTAATTGCTTAACGTGGCTTGTTTAGCAGCTATGTTATGAATAATGACTCTACCTTGAAGCTTTATTAGATTAAATGTGCTGCAACGTGATCACACTATGATTACTTACCGATATCATTATTCAACTCCAGCCAAGGAAACAATTAGTTCTTTTATTACTTTACTCTCTACTTTACATGAACGATTGGTGGAACTAAAGAAATTGTAGTTCCATTAATCGATGTTTTTTTTTAAAAAACCAGTGCAAAGTGTAAGCGTAAACACACAAGCGTATTTCAGTTACGTATTATACCGGGTGATCGAAAAAAACTGCAGACAATTTAAATTTGGCGCTTTAAATTTATAGTGCTTTTTACTTATTTATGCATTAAATGCCATCCATTGGCGTAGTTTTTTTGAATTCTAATCTTCGTACTGTGATCCAGGCGTTTCAAAGCAAACAGCTTTTTTTAAAAAGGTCTTCGCACGTGCATCATTTCGTAAAGGTAAGGTATTAAGAGAACATACTTTATAAGGATCATGTAACCTTACTTTTTAGGCATAAAGGCTTTAAAGGGGATGCACTTTTGTCTTTTGATGCACAATTGAAAGGTGTACATGTTTAAAAGATGCTCATATGCTTACTGCAATTCAACGATAAATGTGCTACTTACCATGATGTCGAAGGTGTAAAAAAAACGTAGCCCCAAGAAATCGTTTTCGAAAATTCTGTAATGAAGCTGGTGGATATATAACAATGTGAACGATAACATCCCTATTTGTTATTTTTACAGACTTATCGCATAATATGTGGCACAAAATTTTACACATTGATATCGGAATGCTTTCATCCAGTGTTGATGACGTTAATTTATGAGAATACGTGGATACGTCTTATTGTATGTAGGCAAATGAAATCAACCTTACGGTGATGGTTGACTATTGCTCGGGCAACGTTAGAATAGATATTTGAATACATGAACCTGAGCGTGCGACTGAGCTTGATAAATTAATTTTTTTTAATTAATTAATTGTGATTATTGTTTAGTGATCCATTAAATTGATCCACCTTTATAAATGTTTAGTTTTGTGGGAAATTTAAACTGTCCGCACTACTTTCCGATCACCCTGTACTATATCGCCGTAATTAGACAAAAATAATTATATTTCCAAAACTTGAATATGAAGAGTTTCAAAGTTTTCTAAAAAAAACAGTAAAAAATACGGTCTGAAATGTTTGTTGTGCAGTGCATAGTCGCTTGTGACACTATTTATGGACAAAATGTTTTAAATGGCGCATACTTGGACAAGGTTGGGAAAAAAATTCCGGTCTCGACATTTGGTATTTGGGAATATTTCAACATGGAAGTATCGAATCCAAAATTTCAACCGCATTTGTAACCGCAATTCTTGGTCCGATAACAAAAAAAATCCTGAGGACTTCACAGTATTGCGTTGTGCAGGTTATACTCAAATTACTTCACTCTAATACTGCCAAAATGATTGTGCCTGAGAATTTGGAAAAATTAAATTATGACGTCTATGAATATATTTTTCCCAGAATCATACAAATAGCTATTTACATAAAATTCAGGAAATAGTACTTTGTGTACCAAGGCGGGAAAGTGGTCGTTTTCCGGGCGAGGCGAAGCCGAGGCTGGCCACTTCCTGAGGCCCGGAAAACAACTTTCGTGCCGTGGTGCACGCAATATTTTTTATCCTATACACTTACATTTAAAATTACTCCCTCAACAATGTCCAACCGCAAGCGCATGAATTTGAATTTGCTTTAACGCGTCAACGTGCAAGCGTTTGTTTTGTTTATTTCCACGTTTCCTGCTGACTACGCGAAAAAAATTTTACGAAATGGTGCAATCTAAGTGGGCCCCCGAGTATATTTTTTACTCGTAGATTTACCCCTTTCCCTTATAATACAGTTCAACCCAAATTCAAATTCTAGCGCGCTTTCAGATGCAGTGCAGTGGCCACCGAAGGGAGTCACGGTGCAACAGCTGCAAGTATAGAATACCGATCATGTGCGAACTGAGTTGACATTCCCGGCATTTCACTGGCGCGTGATTACTTCCTTAGAAAGTAACGGGATTTAAGGGGTTGTAATTAATACCAGGCGCATTTGAAATTATTACTGGTCTTGTGTATTAACAAATGTGTTTTAAAATTGACTATATTTTCAGGGACAAAATCACACCGGTTACATTTTAAATCCTTGGCAGGATGCATGTCTTGTCAAACGTTAGATGCTTTTAACTTTTAAGACTGGATTTATGCTTGGTGACGAAAGCGCAATGGGCACACTTTAAATCCTTGATGATCTTGTATGTTAAAAAAACGTGTATTATGAATAGATTTATTCATTAATTGCAGTCACACTGAACACATTTTAAATTCGGGGTAGTTTCGTATGTTAAAATGCTACTTATTGCGGATAAGCGGTGTTCTACTTACAGTGTAAAGTACATCTCGGTGTTAAACGTGTTGGCACAGATCCTCGTTATTGAAAGTAAATGGGAGATTATGACTTAAGTTTGAAACGTTTGAATTGGTCACGTGATATTGGGAAAGTGTTCTACCTAATTCAGGAAACATGGATAGGTAGGCACGCGGTAATTAAATGAATTCTTGAATTCAGTAAAATAAAGTGAACACAGGGTAAATTTAATTATTAAATCAGTGTTAACGATTTTTTGTTTCTTATTTAATTAAAAAGAAATAACTTCCGTCAAATTTTATTACAACCGCGCCATCTAGCTTACATAAGGCGTATTTTTTTTCTCGCCTAGCCGGCAAAATTAAATTTTCTCGCTCCATGCCTGCAATTGTCTTCTTTCGCGTCCTCACACAGGCGAGAAAATGTAAGTTTCTCCTTGTATAGGATAAAAATGTCAATTTACTGACGAGTTTTTTAAAATTTTTTTAATTTTATCCGAAATCATATTTTAATATAAAATTTCAATTTCAATTTCGGGCGGTAAGGTGACAGGTGCGGCCAGTAAAGTGACAAGCGGCAGGAAACGTAGGTAGTCTGCTCTGCCTCCGCCATGGAAACTAAAATTTCCTGACAGAAAGTAGGCATGAAAATGAAGGTTTCAGGACAATTTTGGGTAATAGTACTTTGTGTACCAAGGCGGGAAAGTGGTTGTTTTCCGGGACGAAGGAAGATATGGCCAGGCGAGGCGCAGCCGAGGCTGGCCACTTCCTGAGGCCCGGAAAACAACTTTCGTGCCGTGGTGCACACAATATTTTTTATCCTATACACTTACATTTAAAATTAATCCCTCAACAACGTCCGACCGCAAGCGCTTGAATTTGCTTTAACGCGTCAACGTGCACGCGTTTGTTTTGTTTATTTCTACGTTTCCTGCTGACTACGCAAAAAAAATTTTACGAAACGGTGCAATCTAAGTGGACCCACGAGTATTTTTTTACTCGTAGATTTACTCCTTTCCCTTATAATACAGTTCAACGCAAATTCAAATTCTAGCGCGCTTGCGATTGCACAGTGCGGAGTCACCGAAGGGAGTCACGGTGCAACAGAGCAGAGTGCAAGTGGAGAATACCGATCATGTGCGAACTGAGTTGACATTTCCGGCATTTCACTGGCGCGTGATTATTTCCTTAGAAAATAACGGGATTTAAGGGGTTGTAATTAATACCAGGCGCATTTGAAATTATTACTGGTCTTGTGTATTAACAAATGTGTTTTAAAATTGAATGTGTGTTTTCAGGGACAAAATCACACCGGTTACATTTTAAATCCTTGGCAGGATCCATGTCTTGTCAAATGTTAGATGCTTTTAAGACTGGATTTATGCTTGCGTGATGAACGCGCAATGGGCACACTTTAAATCCTTGATGATCTTGTATTTTAAAAAAATGTGTTTTATAAATAATAATAATAATAATAATAATAATAATAATAATAATAATAATAATAATAATAATAATAATGTTTATTCCCACAAAAACAACTA